ATATGATTAATTAATTTTAATTAATTTTAATTAATATTAAGTTAATTATTTAATTAAGTTAATTATTTTGATTAATTAATTTTAATTTTTAATTAACTTTAATTTTGGTCAAAGTCAAAGTTATCTTTTATTTTATCTTAATTTCACCCATAAGTTTTATGATTAAGCAATTCAGTCCCAAAGTTTCAAATCTTTTCAATCAGTCCTTCATGTTTTCGAATTTAATCAAGTTAGTCCCTTAACTTCTTGTTCATGTCATTGTGCATGTATGTCTTTGATTTGGTCCATTTCAGTCCAAAAAATTAAAAAAAAAAAAATGTTCGGTTCAGTTTATCTCCTTTTCAAGTTTGCTTATTAAGACTTAAATACAAATATAATTAATAAGTTGAATCAAAACCCCAATTTTAAAGTATGCAACCGTGTTTAAATGGAGGATTGTGAAGTGCGTGTATGCCTTTCCTCGCTCCTAACCGAACTCCCGAACCTCGATTTCTGCGCAGACTTGTTTTAGGTGACTTGTCTCACCTTATAATTTGAACGAGTGACGACTCCCTTTCTTTTTATATTTTCACATTTAATCCTATTTTTAAGTGGTTGTCAACACTTATCACTAATACTGTACAAGTTGTGGTGGTTCATCTTTAACTTTTGTTCAATTTATATTATATATTATTAGAAGTTATTGTATAAAAGTTTTTATCAGTATCAGTTATACTTTCCATGTCAATTTTAATTGTGATCAAACATTAAAAATAAGCAAGAATAATAATATATACTTTCATGAAATAACAATTCCAAAAGCACAAAAATTATAAAAACCTATATCCAATCCAATGGATTAGGTTATGTTGTAGCCTTAGGGCCTGTTTGGTACAGCGGTTAAAATTTAGCGGATAGCGGGTAGCAGATAGTGGTAGCGAGTAACGAGTAGCGAGTAGTAGGTGGCGGTTAGCAGATAGCGGATAGCGGATGGCGGAGAGCGGAAAGTGGGTAATGAATGGTAAATAACGGATTCGATAAATATAACTGTTTGGTTATCTAATAGTTAACGGTTGTTGTTTAACATTAAATGACTAATAAGGATATGTTTAAAAACAAATAAGTCTATTTTTTAAAATATTTTTATTTTTTATTATTAAAATTATTAATTTTATATAAAAAAATAAAATAAATAAATAA